TGAGGGTCTTGATGAGAGCTACACGTTTGCTAAGTGCATCAGCCACTTTATTTTGCTATCCTGTCTTATACACAATTTTATATGGGAACTTGTCTAGGAAGGCAGACCATCTAGCATGCAAATCACTTCTTAATTGCCTTTGCCCACTAAGATATTTTAGGGCCAGATGGTCAGTGTAGAGAACAAATTCTTTTGCAATTAAATAGTGTTCCCAAGTCTTTAGGGCTCTAACCAAAGCATAAAACTCATTGTCATAAGTAGACCACTTTCTTCTGGCTTCACATAATTTTTCACTGAAAAAGCAATGGGTCTCTTTTCTTGGGACAATACAGCCCCTATGCCAACTCCACTGGCATCACATTCAACTTCAAATAATTTATTAAAATTTGGTAAGGCAAGAACAGGAGCAGTACACAACTTTTCTTTTATGAGAGCAAAACTTTGTTCTTGTTCTTCTCCCCATTGAAATTTTCCTTTTTTCAAACATTCAGTCATGGGAGCCATGATACTACTAAAATTCTTAATAAAGCGCCTATAGAAGGTTGCCAACCCATGAAAACGCCTAACATCTGTGACAGTGGATGGGGTCGGCCACTCCCTAATGGCTTTCACTTTTTCTTCATCTACTTTCACACCATCCTTACTTATAATAAATCACAGGAATAATAAATTATCATTCATAAAGATGCATTTCTTCAAATTAGCATATAATTTATTTTCCCTCAATGTTTTCAGGACCTCCCTAATATGTCCCACGTGCTCAGTGATAGATTTGTTGTATATCAAAATATCATCAAAATAGACTACCACAAATTTACCAATGAAGGAGCGCAATATCTAGTTCATCAGCCTCATGAATGTGTTGGGTGCATTGGTTAGTCCAAAGGGCATGACTAACCACTCGAACAAGCCATCTCTAGTCTTGAAGGTTGTTTTCCATTCATCTCCGGGACGGATCGTGATCTGATGATATCCACTCCTGAGATCAATCTTTGAGAAAACTATAGCTCCATTAAGTTGGTCCAGCATGTCGTCCAGCCTGGGATTAGGAAATTTGTACCCAATGGTGATCTTGTTAATGGCCCTGCTGTCGACACACATTCTCCAACTGCCATCATTTTTAGGTGTTAATAAGGCAGGT